CGAGTTGGACTTTTTTTTATGATATATCCCACATATACCAAATTAGATTAATATTTATATTTTTAATAAAAAATAAAAAAACTACAAATTTACCTTAATACCTCTATCTCCCTTTGCTGATCCATCTTCTTCTCCTCTTTTGATCCATCTTCTTCTTTTCTTTCTTCTTTTTCTTTCTTCCTTTGTGTTGCTGGGTTCGATGGAACTCAGGCTTGGTTCCGTCGAACACAAATTTGCTGGGTTTTAGGAACCTAGCGTTGGGTTCCGTCAAACCTAGAACCCAGATTTGCTGGGTTTGAGGAACGCAGCAACTAGGTTCCACCAAACCCAACTCCACTTTCTTTTTTTTTTTGTTATATATTTGTTGCAAAGAGTTTATGCAAATTGCAGGTTGTGAGGGATTTTCGGGATCTTTTTGCTTCATATTTCGTAACTATTGTCTAAATGATTTTAATGTTCAGAATGGAAAGAATATTGTCGGCGATGGAAAGAACAGAAGCAATGACCAATGGGCAAAGAAAAAATTTTTAGTGGGTTTCCATTTGTTTGGCTAGAAAATTGTATAGTTGGGGTGTTTGGCTGCTGAGAAAATGGTTTCAATTTGTTTGGTTAAGAAAATTTGATGAGAAAATTGTGTTTTAATTATACATTAATTTAGAATCTCAATTTTGATTAATATAAGTAATTATAGTTTAATAATAATTAATTAGTGAAATCTGTGAAAAATCTTTGAAATCCTAGCAAATGTAGGGTTTTGAGTGAATTTTAAAGGAGAAGGAACAAGGTCGGTGGTTTTTGCAGGTAATGTGGGATCCATTGGAAGGGCATTGGAGGGGCTTTCATGCGGGGAGATGACATGTCATCAAACAAAAGTTGTTGTCTTCTCCATGTCATCAAAAAAAATATAAAAAATGCTACGTGGGTAAAGTTAATGGCCTAAATTGACGGAAGGATAAACGTTGTGCATTTTTTAGAGTTGAGGGATAAAAAATGTGCACAACATACTTTAGGGACCAAAAATATACAAACCAATAAAATTGAAGGACCAAAATAAGCATTTAACCTCCATCAAAATGATGGCATGAATAAATTGTGGATCCCATTAATTAATTTCCCTTAACCGTACACTTTTCTGTTTTTTTTTAAAATAATTTTAATGTAATATTTAG